TAAAAGTAATGTTAGAATTACAGATTATGAATTTATTTCAAATCTGCTTTTCTCCAAAAGTTCGAGTGCATGAAAATTATTTATTTCATTTTTGAAATAAAACTTACAAAATATTGCTGTTAAAAAACCTATAAAAAAAACTTTTTGGATTATTATTTTTTATTAAAAACTGTATTTTGAATGAAAAATTTGAACCCAACTATTTAGGAAAATGATTAAAGCTAAATTATGCATTTTCTAAAAACTTTTGATCCTAAATAAATAAAAGTTTGTTTGACGAAAGAAAGAAAAACAATTTTTAGGTTACAGTTATTGTTACGAACTAAAAACTATTAATTGGATTGCTACATAAAAAGCGACGTTTTTCAAATAATAATAATAAGAATAATTTTGAGTGTCAGAAATAACGCAATTTGAGCTTTTAAGTATCTAAATAATGCATTTTCAGATTCCTGTTCTGAATTTCAGTTCAAATTCTTACTTGTCTTTGATTCAAATATGATGTACAATTGGCAAAATAAACACTGGAACACACTGAAAAACTTTTGATCTAATAATCGAATCTTCACGTCCTAGGAATCAATCATCATAATTTAAAAAAGTGCTCCGGAATAGGATCCCTTAATATTAATTTTACTTTTGTTTCGCCATATCTCGAGAATTTTTTAAGAGAATCGAAAAATTTTTGCTCAGGATTATAAAATTCGTTTTTCAAAGGTTAATTCCATGCAAAAAAAATCATTGTTAATATTTATTTATTATTTTTTAATATTAGCCAAAAAAATATTTTGAAAGGTATAAATTTTTTTACATCATTTAAAACAAAGTAATTTTAAAAGATAAAATACGAAATTTGAACGAAATTGGTCGAATATTTTCTGAGAAATGGAATTTTAAAAAAGTCGAATATTTACTATCCTCCATATTTTGAAGATAAGGAATCCAAATCCGACAAAAAAAGGTATGTTTATTCAGAGAATGTACCTTTATGTGATTTCGTAACTTAAAAATATCATCTGGCTTTATTAATTAGCATATTTGTGATCTCACCTCTAAACCATTAAGATTGAGTCCTAGTACATGAAGATCCGATAATTAAATCAAAAGATATTCAGCGTTTTCAGTTCTTTTTCTACTTAATGTACAAAAAAAGACACTCTTTTGAATTGCAAAATAGTTTTCTGTAGAAGTTCGGAAGTTGCAACAACAAAATCATATTAAACAAAAACTTCTAACAATAATCACGTTTCTCAGCAATGGAAGTCAATTTGAGATCATTGAATACTAAAATTAATTACATAATAAATAAATGAACATAAAAGTATAAATTAAAACTCATTTGTATAAATATAACTTGTGCTTTTTATCTTGACGCTCGGATCGATTAAATAAACTTTCACTAACTTGAGATATCGTTCTATTTAATTATTTATTTATTCTTCGTAGCAACTTTTTTTAACTTCACGGTGACCTTAAAAGTTTCAGCAGATTTGTCTAAACTTTTATCATCATGTATATTGTTAATGTAGTTTTTATCGCACTTAAAATTGCTTTTAATTTCAGTTTTAATTTTAAAATAATTAAATGATTAACTCTAGCTTTCAAATATTAATAATAAGATTTTGTAACAATAGAGTAAACAGCTCCATCTTTTTTAAAGTTGGCATTTTTTACATCAAATCGTCTCTTAGTATTATTTCCAGATTAATGCTTTACACGTTTGTGAAGTTTTAATTAAGTAACAGCTAATTGAAAGTATGGCCTACATAGGACGTGCTTTCTTTTTTTTCTTTCTTTTATCACAAATGGTCTTATAGTCAGCTTTATTTCTGGAAAATTTGGAAATGTGGCTTATTATTATATTGCCCCAACCGTTTAATATAATGGATCATATGCTGTATTGGGAAACACAGCGTTTAAGTCATTGAGCTGTCTTGTGAAGAACTGGAGCTTAAAGCTCATCCAGCTCCTATCGTTGGACACTAGTTTGCCTGAGAAATAAAGGTGGCCGTTGAGCTATTATTAACCAAATAGCCACCAACCTACCCTTTGTCTACAAACTGTGTAGCTTTAACCTCCATGACCTTCTTGGTCAGAAACTGGATGTTGTAGGAGAATATTTTAGAAAATGTTGTGTTGTTCGTTTTAAGTAACGTTGTGTAGAGAAAACGCCCCTTGATGTCAGTTTTCTTCTGAGTATTTATTGATAAAAGTTTCAACTTTTTTTTATTTCCTATGAGCTGCACAATCAGTCTTCCCGATGAGCAGACCTAGTGCGTTCTCCAGAAGTGGTATCCACTCTTTCAGGACCACCACAATGGGTGAGATACCGTTGGCCATGTTAATTTGCACGTCTAGTTTCTGCCACATTAGATGGTAGCACCGAGACTCTATTTGGATGCTAAAGTGCACTAGGAATTTAATTTTACCGGAAATGCCAAGAGCCAATAAGGCACTCCAGGGATCTTTTACATGCCACATAATCTTACGACATGGCCGCTGAGTATTTTCTGCATCCCGAAAATCCGGTGTCTGGGCCGGGGATCGAACCCGCAGACTTGGGCTTTGAAGGCTGACGACAAACCAATTGCGCCACCCAGGCACCTTTACCAGCCTAATCATACGTAAAAAAAACTTTACGTGTAGCAAGAAACTTTACGTGTAGTTTAGTAATGCACAACCTATTCATGGTTTTGACATATATTGGCAGAAAACTTCAGAAGATATTGTATTGTTAATTTTAAAAACGTTGCTTTGAAAATACGCCACATAAAGTTAGCATTTATCTTAGTATTCATTGATAAGAGCTTCAACCTGTACTTAATTAAACAATTCTATGTGTAACAGAAACTAATACATAGCCTATTCATGGTTTTGACATATTGGCAGAAAACTTCAAAAATGTTGTGTTGTAAATTTAAAAAAAACGTTGTGTTTAGAATACGCCACATAAAGTTAGCATTTATCTGAGTATTTATTCATAAGAATTTCAACCTATACTTAATTAAACAATTCTTTGTGTAACAGAAATTAGTTTAGCGATACACAACCTATTCATGGTTTTAACATATCGGCAGAAAACTTTAGAAAACGTTGTGTTGTAAGTTTAAAAAACGTTGTGTTGAGAATACGCCACGTAAGTTTAGCTTTTATCTAAATATTCATTAATATGAGTTTCAACCTATACTTATTAAGCAATTCTTTATGTAACAGAAACTAGTTTAGAAATACACAACCTATGTATGGTTTTGACATACTGGCAAGAAACTTTAGAAAATGTGTTGTAAATTCTAAAAACGTTGTGTTGAGACTACGACACATGAATTTAGTTTTTATCTGAATATTCATTGATATGAGTTTCAACCTATACTTTTAAAAACTATTTTTTCAAAATGTATATGCTTTTAAGTTATGTAAAAGTTTTTATCTTAATTAATTTATTTATTGTTGAAAATTTCGTAGCGATGCTTTCCCTCGATCAACTAGAGTTTCAATACTTAATAACAAAGAGATATGCATTGATTCAGAATATTTTCAGAAACTTGTAACAAATAGTTGTATTTCAATGTACATAATAACATTTTAACAACAGACATATATGTTTTATGTACAGAAACATGTTCGCTTAATATAGCGAGATAAACATTGTGCTGGCACAATTGAACAGCAGATTCAGCCTACAATTTCTAAAACAAAAACCATCACCAAATTATTTTAGAATGACTTCATCAACGGAATGTAGAAAATTAACTTTAACCACACATAACCTTCTTACCAAGGTGTATGATATGGAAAGCATTCTGGATCCTACTAAGTTGATGCCATTTAAAAACACTGTAAAAATCTTCCAAAAAAATTGTGTTAAACATTGTTATGTTTACTGTATTAAAAAAAGTTAAAAAATATGATATCTCATGTTGTCTGTTAAGAAAGACCTACGAATAAATATTTTGTTGCTAGAGAAATATCTACTCTTTATAAAGTTTGTGTAAATACCATAGTTCTGTAAAATAAAAATTAGTAGCTGCACGTGAACAAATAAAATAATGTACTGATTTTAATAATAGTATAAAAAGTTTCAATCAAATTTTTAGTTGAAAATGTAAAATGCATAGAAAAAAAATTAAGGTCAAAATTACCTGAATATGATAACATTTAACGTGTTTCTGGCAAAATTAACAATAAAATTTGATTTTGTAATATGTGACTAAATTTGCCAATGGGGTGAAATATGGAAATTTTATCATGATACTTTAGAGCATGGCATAAAAACCATTTATTCGGTTAAATTTTCTTTTCACTTTTAAATTTTTTACTAAATGTAAACCGGTAAACCATTACCATATGAACAGAATAATTATCAAATGAATGGTTTAAATACCGTATATTTTAGTTTCATTACCCAGAATTATGATTTTTTTACTAAAAATGCCATTACCATACAATGCGATAATATTACCAGATTTTTTTTATCAGTGAATATCAAATTGTTTGCGACAAATATAATACACTTTACAATTGCAACTAGTTTAATAAAATTTGTAATAGAATTTATTCAAATTCAGGTTTGTATTGCACCCAGCTCAAAATGTCAAATTTGTTAAGCAAAATTTTTAAATTTTAGTTCGAGTGCCATGTATTCGAAATATATGAATATGAAACGAATTTGCAAGAAAATATACGATGAAAAGTTTAATTATTTAATTTTGCAAAAGTTCATAACAAAATTGAAATTGGTTACCAGACATCCTAAACAACAAAAACGTATAATCCCGTTTATAGGTAAAAATTGGAACAATTTATGTAACCCAGGCTAACATTACTTTTATTATACACAGCCTAATACTTTCCACTGCTTTAAATCTCATTTCTGAAAAAGAAATTTTTAAAAAAATTTCTTCAATTTATGGTCAGAATAAAAAAAAACTATTGTAGTTTTTCGTTGGTTGAAACTTTTTAAACTATCAATATATGTAATTTTGCAAAATCTTCATTTTTTTTTTTAAATTTTACTAAGTAATGCTTTGGTATTTCGTGTTTTTAAAAAAAGGCTGGATAAGTTTCTATCCATAACAAAGCTACAAATCACCTTTAAGGTTAACTCTCGGCCAGAGTTTTGCTTCTTCTGTATAACTTCATTCGAGTTGATTTGGTGAATCGACCTGGTTTTTTCTCAGCTTCTGGTGTGGACCCTTCAGTTGTGGTAGATGGTGAAGGTGTTGGCGAATCAGCTCCGCTTTCTGGAATAGAAGCTACTTTTTCTGTGAGCAATGATGCGGCTTCTTGGCTAGGTAAAGTCATGAGAGACATTCTTCTGAATCTGTTGGGTGAGCCAACTTTTCGGAAGTCGACGCTTGAGGGATCGGCTTGGTAAGCGAGTGCATTCATAATAACGTGATCTGGTACTACGCCTAAAGGATGGACCTACAAAAATTAGTATAGTTATAAAAATGTAATTATGCTAACTACTAAACTGAATAACGGGATTTTCTCTTAAAAATTTGTAATTTACTTACAACTTAGAAATTATAATTAATTCAGCGATGAGTGGTATATACCTGTGCTCGAATCGGCTCAATGAGATAGCTTTGGTTAAATTTAAGCATAATTACATTTTTAACACTATACTTATTTTTATAGGTCTATCTTTTGGGCTTAGTACCAGATCACATTACTATGAATGCATTCGATTCATAGTAATGTGATCAATCATCTTGGCAAGTGAGTGCATTCGTAGTAATGTGATCTGGTAATACGCCTAATAGATAGCCCTATAAAATTTAGTATAGTGTTGTTGAAAATGTAATTACGCTTACTACTAAACTAAATAGCAGGATTTTCGCATAGAGAAATATTATTACTTCAGTCATGAATGGCATAATTCCTGTGCTTGAATCAGCTGAATGAGTTAACTTTAACTTCTTAGGAGTCAGCTTGGTTAACGAGTGCATTCAGAATAGTGTGATCTGTTACTACGTATTGAAATTAGTGTAGAGATTGTGATCGCTATTAAACGAAGATAAAGTTTTTAACATGGAAAATATATATAATTTGTTCAGTCATGACTGGCATATTCCTGTGCTTGAATCAGCTGAATGAGTTAACTTTAACTTCTTAGGAGTCAGCTTGGTTAGCGAGTGCATTCAGAATAGTGTGATCTGTTACTACGTATTAAAATTAGTATAGAGATTGTGATCGCTATTGAACCGAAGATAAAGTTTTCAACATAGAAAATATATATAATTTGTTCAATCGTGACTGGCATATTCCTGTGCTTGAATCAGCTGAATGAGTTAACTTTAACTTCTTAGGAGTCAGCTTGGTTAGCGAGTGCATTCAGAATAGTGTGATCTGTTACTACGTATTAAAATTAGTATAGAGATTGTGATCGCTATTGAACCGAAGATAAAGTTTTCAACATAGAAAATATATATAATTTGTTCAATCGTGACTGGCATATTCCTGTGCTTGAATCAGCTGAATGAGTTAACTTTAACTTCTTAGGAGTCAGCTTGGTTAGCGAGTGCATTCAGAATAGTGTGATCTGTTACTACGTATTAAAATTAGTATAGAGATTGTGATCGCTATTGAACCGAAGATAAAGTTTTTAACATAGAAAATATATATAATTTGTTCAATCATGACTGGCATATTCCTGTGCTTGAATCAGCTGAATGAGTTAACTTTAACTTCTTAGGAATCGGCTTGGTTAGCGACTATATTCAGAATAGTGTGATCTGGTACTACGTATTAAAATTATTATAGTAATTGTGATCGCTATCGAACCGAAGATAAAGTTTTTAACATAGAAAATATATATAATTTGTTCAGTCATGACTGGCATATTCCTGTGCTTGAATCAGCTGAATGAGTCAACTTTAACTTTTTAGGAATCAACTTGGTTAACAATTTTTTTTTCATATTAAATTTCGCAAAATTTTCGCATTTAACATCTATTTACAACTTCATAAAAATTCCAAAACAACAGAGAAATATTTCTTAAGGCGTACTGTTACGTTTCTACACAGAGAAAAAAAAGTGTGGTAAAAAAAACCAGAATATAGTAAAATTTCCCGTTATTCTAGTTCTATGAGAACACCAAAAAGCTAATTTTTACCGAGCTGCTTTGGTAAATATTTTGGTTGATTGTCGTGTTATGGACATGGAAAATATATCAATAAGACACTATATAGGACCTTCGGTCCTATACACTACTTCAACTATATCAAGGCAAATGTCCGAATAAAGATCTTCTTGTGGACAATCACTATTCTGTTGTAAGATGGCCAAACAAGTAAATATGGTTTCATAATATGCGATAAAATTTGGTAATTATTAACCATTAAACCAATTTAATTTGGTAATTATTAACTAAAAAAATCATTTATTCGATTAATTTTACTTTTAGGTCTTGCATTTTTTACTGAATATGTGATGATAAGAACTAAAACTTTGAAAACTAGAATTTCGGTAAACCGTTTCAATATGAACGGACAACTTACCAAATCAATGGTCCAATTACCGTATATTTTGTTATTACTTGATTCGCGTCTGTTTTTGAGCGTTTGAAACATGTCGACTGTTATTTCCAATTTCTATATTTCTTAAGCGAATGAAGTTTTTAATCTAGTAATATCTTACCTCTTCAGTTTCTTGGCATTATTTATTTAACCGTAAATTTTGGGGTTTTTTTTAACCAGAAGTTATTACCATAAAGTAGGGTAAATTTACCAGATTTTTTTTTCTCCGTGTGCCTTTTCCAATGTTGCCAAGTAAAAGTGAAACAGACTAAAGAATTGTTTAAGGTTGCGGTAAATTTGTGTGGTTGAAGGTACAATATGGTTCTATGTTGAACCGATTTCTTAGAGAGTGTGTGATAATGTAAGATAATGATAGTGACCTCTCTCATCAGGACTCCAGCGGGTATCTTGTAAAATTCTATACATTCCAGAAAATTAGACATAACATCCCTAAGATCGGAGCCTGGTTCAGCATCACAGAACCTCCGACTCCAGTGAGCTGCGGCCTGGAATTTGACGAGCTCGTCTGCTTGAAGTTCTTCACGAGAAAGAATCAAGCGAACAACATGCTCTGGCAGTAAGGCGAAGGATCCCAAGCTCAGAACGTCATCTCCATGAGAATCGACGAACTCAAGGACCTAAAGCATAAAATTAACATTGACATGTGGTTGCTTCTTAAAACAGAGATTTTTTTTTTATTGGAACATGAAGAAAAAAATCATTGAAAAAAAGCATGGACATCAGAGCTGTTGTTAAAAGGATGTGTACTTGGATAACACGTCGGTGATGATCATTTTTTTTTTTTTTTGTTCTTATTTATTATTTTCGGGTCTGGTACAAGGACCTAAACCATTGAACAGTGTGTTGTCCAATTTTTGAATTAACAAATTTCAAANAACGACCCTAATTGGAACATGAAGAAAAAAAATCATTGAAAAAAAGCATGGACATCAGAGGTGTTGTTAAAAGGATGTGTACTTGGATAACGCGTCGGTGATGATCATTTTTTGTTCTTATTTATTATTTTCGGGTCTGGTACAAGGACCTAAACCATTGAACAGTGTGTTGTCCAATTTTTGAATTAACAAATTTCAAAAAATTCCATGCATTTAAGTTTCTATTTCTAGAACTATTGGATCAATTCCATACGAAATTTGTATTATCATTTAAAATTACCTATTTTAAAACATTACAAAAAGTTAAATTTCTTACAAATAAAAACTATTTTCGACCATTACTTAGTTAAATAACAAAAATAATGAATTACTTTTAAAAATTACTTTTTAATGAAATTATCTTTCGATAACTTCAAAAATTTCTGATTTGCTAAATAGCTCCAGCGACATATGGAAAAAGTAAAAACTAACAATAAAGGGTTCAAACTTTTGACCACACTCCCGACTTAACTATTGTAACTATATTTTCCAGATTATAGTGTGGCGTAACTACCACTAATAATATTAAATATCAACTCAGTAGTACGTCAAGACACGTTAACTTCATTCCGTTTATTTGTACTTTTTGATGGATGAAGGTTGTAAGCATTAAAGTCGTAAGCATTAAAGGAATATAATTTTCGACTATGTCAACCTTCATCAATCGAAAGGTACCTCTAGAAAGATGAAGGTTACAACGCGTTTTGAACATGTGCTTGATGAAAAGGGAACACATTGAGCATATGTTATGATTCAACAATGGTTTGCTTCTGCAGATTGTGTTTTGTTCTTTATGTGTGCTATTTTTTTTTTAACCAGAGGTTGACATACTAAATTTTTATATTGCAGTTTTTTTTCATTATGGTCCGGGTAAGGTATTACCAAGTTCAATTGTTGACACTGGTCAACTTGAACGGACTCGTTGTGGGTCTGAACACAATGGGCTGTATTTGGATCTGAACAGAATCATTCTATGTGAGTCTGAACAGAATGGACTCTATGTGGGTCCGAGTAAAATGGACTTTATGTGAGTCTGAACAGAGTGAATTCTATATGGTCTGAACGGAATAGACTCTATATGGGTCTGAACGGAATTTACTCTGTGTGGGTCTGAACAGAATGCATTCTATGTGGGTCTGAGTAGAATGGTTTCTATATAGGTCTGAACAGAATGGATTCTATGTAGCTCAGAACGGAATAGACTCAATTGGAGTCTGAATAAAATAGATTCTATGTGGGTCTGAACAGAATGGATTCTATGTGGGTCTGAACGGAATGGTCTCAGATGAGGTCTGAACAGAATGGATTCTTTGTGGTCTTTGTGGATCTGAACGGAATGGACTCTATGTGGGCCTGAACAGAACCATCACTTGTATGTGGGTTTTAGTAACTTTAATTGTGACCTATGTATAATTGTAACTTTAATTGTGACCTAATTGTGACTCTGTATAACTATGTATTGTTCAATGTTTGGTATTGCTTACCTTTTGGACTAAAGATTTTGTGCACTTGTATTGTATATATTTTTCAGCTGAAGCGAGCAAGGCGCATACCGTATCTACATTGATACAAACTTGAACAAATCCCATACATGCTTTTCGCAGCTCATCTAAACCATAGTAATCTGCAGCATTCATTAAACCTGAAAATTAATTAGAGTATGGTGAAAATAATTACAATACATAAATAATAGAGATTTATTTGCCTGTCTTAATGTAGAAAAAAAGTATAAATATTATTCTCTGGGGGTAATACATATACAACTTATTATTATTACTAGTTTCTGGCCAAAAGAAGTAGAAAAATTCAGTGATAAATTGAAACATGAGGACGTAATGACACAAAAATTTTATAACTAACTTCAAGCGTATGATGTTATTCAGATAAAAAGTTTGTCAGAGTAATATGTCAAAGAAAAAGCTTGTTAATATCTCAAAGTTTAGTGATAGTGCGTTATTATAATAACTGTAGTAAAATGTAGAAAGGAAACTGGTTAAGAAAGTTGTGATCTGGTTTAACCTTGATGTCTGAGAATAAAATTCCCAAACTAATTAACACTTGCACAATTCTTTTTTTCAATCAAATTTACTCAATCTTTAATTCCAATTTCCTCATTTTTTATAGATTTATGCAGACATCTCTGAAGTCCCAACTTCTTGTTGATCGAAATATGGAAGGCATCATCATCAGTTTCAAATAACTTCAGAGTTAGTGTATAGTTTAGGGCTTGAATGATTTCAGAATAGTTTTTCAATAAAAAAAAGGTATGTAGTGTTTTTCAACTCTTTATTTAGTTGCAAATATATTTTGCAAAGACCATAAAAAGCAAGAAATTGGTCGTGACCCAAATACGAGCTTATTACACACCAACATGTACCATCAAGTTGTTTTCTAAAACGCCCATGTCTTATTTTATGTTAAGGGAAACTAACGATAGTCCTTTGTTACCTTGGAGCAAGTTTTTTTCCCTGTTTACAATGCAAAATTAACATTTCCGAAGTCTACATTTTCTCTAAGAAATAAAAATTTTTCATTTGGCTTTACATATAATCAGCTACTGTAAATAAATTACAGTTTACAAGAACTTGAGGTGTTTTTAGGTTTTTTTTAAAATGATAATGTAGATGTGAAGTTTATTTGAAGTTGACTTCAAAAGCAACTTCAAAAATTATAACAAATCTTATATATTGAGGTTGATGGAAATCTACCTTAGAACAACCAGCTTAAAGAAAAGTTTTTTGAAGCTACAGATTACTTTTTTAATACGTCAAGCAAATAAGTATATTCGAAGTGTGAATAATTTCACCTAATTTTAATTTAAAGTACTGCCGAGGTTGATTTTATTAGGTGTAAATGTGGTTGAAATTGAGATTTATTGATGAGGTTATTTTTGGTGCAAAACATAACCACATTTTCTACCTCAACTATATGTTTTATCACTGATCAACCTCAAAAACATCTTATTTTTTTTTGTAAGGAACAATTTTTTAAACTTTCGATCGCTTAGGGGGTATTCAAATTTCTTAGAAATATGATTTTTTTTAAATTAAAGAAAAATATCGAACATTATACCACCTTACCAAGTAGGGTTCTAGCTTGTAATGTCACACATCCTGTATGAATGTATTCAATTAACTGCCGAAAGACATCTGGCTCGAATTCTTCTACGATAAGGGTTTGATGGCCACCCATTGGAACCTAAAAAGCAAAATTTTCTTGATAGTCATAATTTTAATCAAATCCAAATATTGGAGGTACAAAATGGAATCCCATTAAACCTGAATGATTTAATAATATGGAATCCCAGTATTTCGCGAAATTTACAAATTTTGCCAAAGTATTCTCATATTAAAGACTCCCTCCATTGATCAGTAACACAATTACAAACTAAATATGAATTAACGACCCTAATTTCAACTACCTCCATTGATCAGTAACAGAATTGCAAACTAAATATGAATTAACGACCCTAATTTTAACTACCTCCATTGATCTGTAACACAATTACAAACTAAATATGAGTTAACGACCCTAATTTTAACTACCTCCATTGATCAGTAACAGAATTGCAAACTAAATATGAGTTCTCAGCCCTAATACTTACTACGTCCATTGATCAGTAACACAATTGTAATCTAATTATGAATTAGCGACCTTAACTTTAACCTCCTCCATTAATCAGTAAAAGATATTCGACCCTGATTTCAACTACGTCCAGTATATCAGTGGCACAATTACGTATATCAGTAGCACAATTACAAACTAAATATGAATTAACGACCCTAATTTTAACTACCTCCATTGATCAGTAACAGAATTGCAAACTAAATATGAGTTTTCAGCCCTAATACTTACTACGTCCATTGATCAGTAACACAATTGCAATCTAATTATGAATTAACGACCCTAATTTCAACCACCTCCATTAATCAGTAAAATATATTCGACCCTAATTTCAACTACACCCAGTATATCAGTAGCACAATTACGTATATCAGTAGCACAATTACAAACTAAATATGAATTAACAACCCTAATTGTAACAACGTCCATTGATCAATAACGCTATTGCAAACAAAATATGAATTTACTACCCTAATTTTGACTACGGTCATTCAACTACCTACATTGATCAGCAACAGAATTGCAAACTAAATATGAGTTAACTACCCTAATTTTAACCATGTCCATTAATCAGTAGCACAATTACAAGCTAAATATGAATTAACGACCCTAATTTTAACTACCTCCATTGATCAGTAACAGAATTGCAAACTAAATATGAATTAACGATCCTAATTTTAACTACCTCCATTGATCAGTAACAGAATTGCAAACTAAATACGAATTAACGACCCTAATTTTAACTACCTCCATTGATCAGTAACACAATTACAAACTAAATATGAATTAACCACCCTAGTTTTAACTACCTCCATTGATCAGTAACAGAATTGCAAACTAAATATGAGTTTTCAGCCCTAATACTTACTACGTCCATTGATCAGTAACACAATTGCAATCTAATTATGAATTAGCGACCTTAATTTTAACATCCTCCATTAATCAGTAAAAGATATTCGACCCTGATTTCAACTACGTCCAGTATATCAGTGGCACAATTACGTATATCAGTAGCACAATTACAAACTAAATATGAATTAACAACCCTAATTTCAGCAACGTCCATTGATCAATGACGCAATTACAAACAAAATATGAATTTACTACCCTAATTTTGACTACGGTCATTCAACTACCTACATTGATCAGCAACAGAATTGCAAACTAAATATGAATTAACTACCCTAATTTTAACCATGTCCATTAATCAGTAGCACAATTACAAGCTAAATATGAATTAACGACCCTAATTTTAACTACGTCATTGATTCGAAACACAATTGCAATCTAATTATGAATTAACAACCCGAATTTCAACTACGTTTATTGATCAGTAACACAATTATAAACAAAATATGAATTTACGACCCTAATTTTAACTACGTCCATTGATCAGCAACACAATTGCAAACAAAATATGAATTTGCGACCCTAATTTTTCTTACCATTTACACACAATGGTGTATCAAATTTGTAACATAATAATTTTTATCTAAATAATTCCAAGAAACTGAAGTGGTTTGATATTACTTATTAAAAAAACTTCATTCGTTTCAAAAATATACACATTGGAAATGACAGTCGATTTGTTTCAAACGCTCAAAAATAGACGCCCATTTTCTAGACTTGCCAGACGTGAATGGGCAGAAACAAAATTGATTTGAAATATAAAATAAGAATTGCCAACGAAAAATGGAAAATAAAGATAAGAAACAAATGTAAAAAAATCTCGGTAGCCGAGAGAGAATAAAAATTAACATGAAAAAAGCTGAACAAGAAAAACCACTGTGAGCTGAGAATGGCAAACCAAGGTAAAATGCATTTACACGCGCTACGGAAAGGTGGTGAGGAACTTATGTCGTTCACAAGGAAATCAGCATTCATACGAATAAAACAAGATTTTAGAGCATCAAAATGAGCTGATGTGACTGGATTTGAAATAACTTTGTTGTCGAAGTCGAATTTATGCCCAAGATCTCAACAATGTGTATCAAATGATGATTTCTCGTATTCTTGATAAGGAACATATCCATCTTGTTCCTTAAGTCTAGCTTGTTCCTTAAATTTTAAAGTGCGTCTAGTTGGCCTTAGGCTGCACTGACAAGAAATGTGGTGCATGCCTAAGCGATTATCAAAACTAATAGGATGTTTAAAGGATTGAATTTGCCGACTGTTATTCTTGAAACATATTGCTGTATATTATTGAAACAGCCATTTTTATTTTTTTTATTCTAAAATTTTTGCAGAAAATAGCTTGACGCTCTAAAGCATCGTGATTTTATTAAAATTGGAACATGCACTGATTTGAATTTCCATTTCCAAATTACGGTAAAATAGTCTTTTTATCCGATTAACCATAAAGTTAATGGTTAGGAATATTTCTTTACCTTCATGGATTTGAAACCGTTTACTACAGGTACGGTTAAAAATCCGTGAATACAAAACTATACGAATTTGCAACCATTTACAACTTAAAAACAAAACTTAAATGGGTGTTGGAGTTCTGTGGTTGCTGTTCCATTTATGTGTGAATATATTCTAATAATCTAGGGTCACTGATTGAAGGATGCATTAATACTAGAAACTTTTCATGTATTAAAAGAATGGAAGAATATTGTGGTATCAACTTTGGTTCAGATTGACAGATTAACCCTCTCAGCAACAGTATGTACCCAGCCGCACGGATCAAAATGGATTCATAAGTCAGACATAGTTGGCATGGATAGAATTCTGGTTGTTAAACCATATTAGGTATAAAAAAAACAATCAATAAACGCTTTTCTCATACTTCACAGTTTGAAAATCCTCTTTTTTTTCGGTTATTTGACTGTTTTGGTTGAATACGGTAAAATAACAAGTAAATAACAAGAAATTATTTGCAAATATTAATTACCTGAGATAGTTGAATGTTGAGAATAGGTTCGCTGCTACGTTTCAGGAACATTTTTAATTTTGTTTCTTTTGTTGACTCCCTTTTTTTTGCTAGTGCTTCTTTTGAAGGTGTTTGCTGCTGTTGCCCATACAAGATCTTATGGAAAACTCTGAAAAAATATCCTATATTAAAAATTCAATCGAAGAACTTTTATTTTAAAATATTATTACTAAAAACTATTTGCGTATTTATAACTACACAAAAATCTAAAATATGATTTAGGTATTCTTGACTTTTTGGGATAGGTTCAGTTTTGTAAAGCTTTGAGAACTCATAATTTGTGAAAGTTAGAACCTGATTTTATTAAAATCTTAAACTCAAGTGGCCTTAAAAGAGTCTTGATGAAAGATACATTTCGGGAAATTGGGAAAAATTTACTCTAAGTTTTGAGAGGTTCTGTTTTTAAAAAAATCTTTTTCAGGAGTTAAAAAAACAAGTGAATCAACGTATCAGTTAGTTAATGTGAAGGAATGAATAAATAAAAAAATTACAGTGTTGTGTAGTTCTGGAAAATAATCCTTTCAATGAGTTGAAAAATAAGTGAACCAATGTTAATCATTGTCAAGGAATCAATAAATAAACGAATGGAAGTATTAGCAGATAAAAAAATTAATGATATACCTAACTGATAAATAAGATAATCAACGAATGAGCAAATTAATTAATCAGTAAAGTAATGAATTGAAGAATGAATTAATCAGCAAAATAATGAACTGAAGAATGAATTAATCAGCAAAATAATGAATTGTGGAATTAATTAATCAATGAATCAGTGTATAGAAAAATTAATAAATTAGAGGGGTGGTTCCCAGTTTTTTTCGGCTACGGTACCCTAAATTATATACCTTTTTTGTCGGAACCCCGATTTAATAAATAAAGTTCCTGTAAGTAATTGTAAACTTTGTAATCTATAAAAGACCATTTTCAAAAAATTTAATTAGAGGAATGAAGATTTTTCATTATTTTATAATTAATAATCTTAAATTAGGTTTTATGTCCGATGCTATATATTGTCTAGTTACGAATTTGTTTTTGATGTATACACATAGCTAAATATAAATAAAATGAAACAAATTATGGTTTACTTCGAAATGAAAACTTAAAAAAGCTGTTATGAGCGTTGAAACGTTGTAAACGTTGAATAAATACTTTTTATATATATTTTTTTCGAACAAGTAAGAGGTTTATATCGATGTCATTAAAATGATTTTTTAAGTGTTGTTTTTTACCAAATATAAGAAGTAGAAAAAAAAATTAGACTGTTTTTTGTTAATGAGTAGTTTGAGAAAGTATTAAAAATTGCCATTTGGCAATGGGGGGGGGTTTGAATCCCCTAAACTCCTCCCTTGCCTACGTCCCAGTGAAGATTTCTAATCCTTTTATTATTAATAATCTAAAATTATGTTTTCTGTCAAGCAGTTGAATTTGCTGTTCTTGTGTGTTGTTAGTCCAGTTATGAATTTATTTTTGGTGTAAATACATAGCTGAAAATAAATAAGATAAGTCAAATTATGGTTTGCTTTGAAATAAAAACTTAAAAGAATTACTATAAACGTTGAAAATGGTTATTAGGGTAACATATTTCTTTATTAAAGAATTTAATTATTTTGATTTTAAAAGTGCAATAGGTAGTACTAAAGCAATATTTTTATGAGTGCTTGTTATATTCATAATAATATGTTATTCAATATGTTGTCATTAGAAATATTACATTTTTTCATTCAAAATGTGTCATTTCTACATTATTTGGAAGAAAGAGACGGGACACGACACTATAACGACATAAACCCATATTTGTTAAAATTAATAGGAGGTAGGGCCTCCTTTGGCTGCGATCACAGCTTCAACCCTTCTGGGCATGCTTTCCACCAAATTAGCCATAGTGGCAAGAGGAATTTCCTTCCAAATGCTTAACAGGAAATTCCATAGTTCATGCTTGCTTTTGGGGAGTGGTGTGCAGGTCCTCAACCGACGGTCCAATTCGTCCCAGAGATGTTCAATTGGGTTAAGATCAGGGCTCTGCGCCGGTCACTCCATGCGTTTAACGTTGTTGTTCACATACCAATCAAGAGTCCTCCTTGCAACATGAGATCTTGCGTTGTCGTCTTGATATAAGCAATCATCCATACCGTATGTTGACCACAAGTCAGGAAGGACATGATTGTCGAGAATATCACAGTATCCATCGGCATTCATCATACCATCATACCAGTGGCTCAGCCCCATAGCAGGAGAAACAGGCCCATACCATCAATCCTCCTCCACCAAACTTTACAGTTGTCCCGTCATTTTTTCCAGATAGTGTATTTTATTTGCATTTTACGTGAAGTGATTTCATGGAGCAATTGAATGATTAAATAAACTGTGAATTATAGATTGGTTCTAAATGTAATTCTAGATTTCAAAACTCATCACTGGTTATAAAAAGTACTAACTCGTGGAACCTCTTTAATTCTTCCACGAAACCCTAGGGTTACCTGAACCATTATTTGAGAACCGCTGAATTAGAGAATCAGTAAAACGAAAAAATCTCTGATTTGTTTAATTTGCTGCTTCAATGAATAACTCTTTTACTAGTTAATTGATTGTTTGATCCACAGATTTGTAGATCTATTAACTGATTTGTAGACTCGCTCAGTGTTAGATTCTATTTAATTGATTTATTGATTCGCTCATTAACTGATGTGGTAATTCATTGATTCGTTTGTATGGATCCATAAATTTAATAATCTCTCATAAACCTATTAGTTTTTAGATTTATTTGGTATTTCAGTTACTAGTAAAAACGGATACTCACTGAAACATTGCGGTAAACGGACGAGATAAAATTTTACTTAGTGTCCATCCCGAATTCCGCAGTTAAAACGCGAAACTAGTGCTTATAGACATTTAGAATTTTTAGTAGAAACTGCACATAAAGTAAAATTTTGGATATATATGATCGTGCATGTAAGACGTAAATACCTTTTTTTTAAAAAAAAGAATAGAAAAGAAAAATAATAAGCTTTTTTAAAGACCAGTGCAATTTATATTTAATTCCTTAGCATAATAGAAATTCAACTTTCTAGCAATTATTTAAAAAAATTAGTTTTTTTTTTAATTCTTAGAACTATTTGCGACAAGTAATTAAATCTGGTTTAATATATATGTCACAAGACAGAATTCTAAAAAGTTTTGTAAAGATTAAGAAAGTATTTAAAAAAATATTTCTTTTAGTAACGTTACGATGTTTCAATAAAGGGAATTAAAAAGTCTTACAGCTGTTCTTCTGTTCCTCCTACTCAGTTAATAAGTTTAAGTACTACCCAGTTTCATTTCCATACGTAATTAAAATCCAATTTTTTCGCAATATCTTTTCCATCTCTCTCAGAATCGTTTACTCGCTCTGAATCTATAAATCATCCAAAGAATAAAAATGCAAATTTTTTCTTTAGAAAGAGTATTAAGCAGGAGACACAATATCCTCTTTGAACGCAGAGAGCCGAAACTGAAATTTCTTGATTTAATGAAAAACATGTTTAAAAATACAAGAAGAAGAACTTTTCGTCTTTCACAACGCGATAAAACGATTTGCCTGTAGCGTCGTTGAAAAGACGATTTGAATGAAAAGAAAAGCAAAATCTCTTTTCCTCATCTTATTTCTCATTGATTTAAAAAGAAAATCCAGGAATAGAAACAATTTCGTGAAAGAGAAAATTCTCATGTTTTTTTCATGCTCCTCTTTCTTTCTCTATTTGTCACTGGATTTGGAGATACCTTGCCGCTTCTCTTGCTTTTAACATTAATCGAAAAGCTATTTTGCGCCATTTACTTTCTACTTAATGAAACAAGCTTCCGGGCTTGAAGGATAGATTGAAACCTCTCTCTCTCTCTCTGTATTAGGCGTGACTGCTTTAAACAGAAAAGTAAATTTTTACTTATAAATATGTTCTGCACTATTAAACACCCTTTCATCTTACAGATGGAAGTTCTTTATAAAATGACACATAGAAAATCGATACAAAGAAAATCTTCGCAGGAGCCCGACTGGGTTCGAAAAATGTTTTTTTTTAAATTTTTTTTGGGGGTTTTAATTTTATCTGCAGTAAACAGGTTCTAGAATTATAAGTCTAATATCTGTAGTCCTAAAATTGTAAATCTAAGGTAAAATTTGAAAATTTATGAAATTTTTTTTTTTCAAAATAAGGGCAAATTTTACCCTTAAAAAAAATTAATATCCCGCTAACAGATATACAATAAAGTATAACAGAAAATTTCAAAAAAGAAAAGAATGAAAACAGTGAAAATAATGAAAAATATAATGATAACAACCGAAGCTAACGTCATCAGGGTGTACTAGCCCGGAAGTCATGGGAATACAAAACCTTTTCTATCGAAAGAGCATGACAAATGTCTAAAATTTGCTCTCTCTGTACCCTAAAGGTTTTGCAAGAAGTACAGGAAGAGAGAGGGGGAAAAATACAAAAACAAAATACAAAAGCAAAATACGTAAACTAATCACTAAAGAAGAAATCATTTACAAAAAATCTACTTAAAAATATTCTTTTGCTGAAACAAAAGCACACTACGTTCTGAAAATTCTTAACCAAACTGAAATTTCTCTTTTTATTACAATAAACTGTGTTCTTGACGTTGATTCGAATTACACTTGAACAAGATTATTATGTTACAAATTGATTATTATGTTACAAATTCGAATTACACTCGATAATCATTGGCCTTTTGTAAATTATGTCAGGAAAATGCGCCTTTCGTTTGACAAGAGAGGACCGAAGGGTGAAAGTTCATCTTCGTTCAGAACCCCATGGATAGATGGCAGCATCATCATTCGCGCGGCCACTTTCCTAATTTAGACGTAGATCTGAAGGGGAAGAAAATTTCTCCAGATTCCTTTATCCATGGTACTGTTCAGCGACTAACCACAGGACTTTCGATCTCACAGATTTTACAAGCATGCACTCGATAGGTCTTAACGGAGTTGAGAACCGAAGTTCGATTCTCTAACCATTGGGCTACCACGGCCCACAATAAACTGCGATTTTTACTGTAATTTTCTTTCAATCAGTAGCAAGTTCACCTGTGATTTCAGCTAAAATCTTTAAAAATATTTGTAATATGCAATGAAATTAAGCTAATATTATATTATTTAATATTGTTTTTTTAATTTTTTGAAGGAAAAAAAATCAAACATTCTTACTTAAATTAAAGCACGATTAAAATAATAAGTTCACACTATGACCTTAAGTTTTAGTTCAAAACATTCATATTTCAAAATATATTTACAGTGTTTTAGATATTTATCTAATGAATTTTTTTATAATGTTCGTAAGCGTAAGCGATCCTAAACTTTAAGAACAAAATGGTCTTAAACTTTAAAAACAAAAACTTCAACATAAAATATGTAATTTAGTGTCAATTAAAATTCTGACAAATACTTTATTATGTTCAAAAAAAAATTTAAAGAATTAATTTTTTCTTATTGCTCGCGACTTAAATTAAAAAACAGAAAAATAAGCGGTTACGAAACAAATATATATATATANTTATTATTTATATTTATTATTATTATTTATTATTATTTGTATTTACTATTATTATTATTAATATTTTGTATTAAGTTACAAAACATTAATTATTGATATTTTGTAAATTAGTATCCATGCTTGAAGTATCTTTGTACAGAATTTCAATGCAAAAAAATAGTTTTATTAATAATCATGTTGTTTCTAATGACACTTGGACAAGCTAAGCTCACCAGCAATTGGCTTTTTGCGAATTAAGTCAGGAAGGTGTGCTTTTCGTTTGACAAGGAACCACCGCAAGGGTGAAAGTATGTTTTAGCTCAGAACCTCACGGCATGGTAACAGCACTCAATCATAAGACCACTTCCTTTGGCCATAACTCGATTTCATTTCGAGGTACCTTTTGATAGGTGGAAGTTGACATAGTCGGTAACTACTATTTCTAAATTGATAATGGAAATCGCTCTATTTATTTTGGGAGTACATGAGATGCCGACCGGTCTGTGTAGGGGACAGGGAACTGTTTTTGCATCAGAAAGGTCCTGGATTCGAATCCCGGGCAAGGCATGGATGTTTCTTTCACTCTCTATGTGTTCTATGTCCTTTCCCCTTTGTGTGTGAATGTGACCCGCCCTATAAACGGGAATGGCGTGGCAGAAGTCGAATTCCTGGCCGTAGATGGCGCCACTGAAAAACGGGAACAATCGCACCTCCACTGCCTAAACAGGCATACGACAAAAAAAAAAAGTACATGAGATTTAAAGAAAAAAATGCCGAGTATGTAATAACGTTATCAGTTCTTCGTTTACAAACGCTGCGCATAGCAACTTGGGCTCAGAGTTGGTTCAACTTTTATGTTTCAGCCTAGAATCCCAAGTGGTGCCTAATGCATGAGTCTTTCTTGAAGTGAATCCCGGTCTTCCCGGACCAGATCATGATTCTTTAATAACTTGGCTACCACGGACTATACATACTCATAAGAAGAACTTTGCAAAATTATTATTTCTCATTATGTCTCTGTTGTGTTATGCTAAGCAACCCATCTGTGATAAACTTACTGAATGGTTTACAAACATTTTTTATGAGTTTGACTAACATAAATGCGTTATTTTACAATAAACAAATAGCTTTACAAAACGCCATTCGTGGGTTTTTTCCTTTGAGTAATGTTTTTCTTTTCTTTCTTTATTTTATTCATTTATTTTATTTTTATTTATAAAATAGAATGAAAAAAGCGTTTCAATAATGAATGGAGTCCATTTAGAATAGCGTCCATCCACTCCTCGAAAAGAAATTAAAAAGAGATATTATTTTTAATCGTAAAGAGACGAAAAAGAATTTTATTTTTTAAAAAGAAGATCTTTTTCGTTTCAAAAATAATGAAGATAAAGAAAACTTTTAATATAAATACGTTAGCAATCCTGAATGTTTAGGAATTTAAATACGTTTTAACAAGAATTCCAAATATATACCACGTGTTTCGCAAACATCACCTCTTATATAGATATTTTTAGAATCCATTATAAAAAGTGATCTCAATAGACGCATAAGAGGGGTAAATTAAGTGAGAAAGAAATAAAAATGCTATCGAAATCTAACGAATCCCACGTAAGGTAAAGGAACATAGATTTCCAAAAATGTGCCCCCTTTTTTTTGTAAACATCTTCCTTTATATAAATATTTTTAGAATCCATTGCAAAAAGTGATGTCAATAGACACATAAGAGGAGTAAATTAAGCGAGAAAGAAACGAAAATGCTATCAAAATCTAACGAATTCTTCGTAAGGAAAAGTAACTTAAAAACATAAAAACCAGTTGGATTTCCTGATGAAATTTTGAGGCATTTCTAAAAATCACAATTACTCTTTGTCTTTTTCTATGTTCTGGGTTTTAATCCATGACTTCCTTCGTAAGAATTCATTAGATTTCAATAGTGTTTTCTTTAAAATTATTTCCCAGCCTTCAATGCATATGCGTTATTTTTGACAAGAAATGCATATGCGTTATTTTGACAAGATTCGAAAATATATATTAAGGGGGGTGATTAGAGAATACTCTGTGCATTTAAATTTGAATCCATATTCCGAATGTTACCTGCTTCTGGCTGCCAAGACTGCTTTGACTGCACAAACGGGTTCACGTGTATCTCCAACCAGAAATGTTACGTCACAGAGTTCTGGCATGCTGGCAAGAAACTTCATGTCCTCAGCTAATCCGGTCTTGTTTTCAAACACCGAATAGTCTTCTGTTTCTTCACCCTCACCCGATTCATCGGCCATCGTCAGTGCTAAAAAGAAAAAGTAAATTGGTAAAAAATATATTAAAAAAACAATAGAATTTTTTAATGTGGTAATATAATAATGTAATACAGATTTTCAAGAATTCAGTTGCGTGAGCTCTTATTGTACAAGAGGAGCCAAACTCAGAGCACTTTCAATCATATTCTTTAATATATAGTTTCAGAATCCTTTTCATAAACGAAGTAAAGAATAGTATAAACACGAGTAAACAAAATAAAAATTAAGGAAGGAAAAAAACCTTTAACGAAATTTAATGAATAACTACTTAAAAAAAGGGGGGAGTTGGAACTTTATAATCTGTTTGATTTCTTGAGGAAGGAGAAAAAAGTTTATAAGTATTAGAATCAACTCCAAGTTTTACCAATCACTCAAGCTGATTTTATTATTTTTCATCCCATCTTCCTCACTAGTAATTTTGCGGACTTTGATTTTGTTTTCCTCTCTTAAATATTACCCTCATGTAAGTACTTTTTTTGACAGGAATTAATATATATATATATATATAGCACAATAAAAACAAAACCGAACAAAAACGGAAACAAAAAGAAAACGGAAGTAAGGTAATAGTAGATAATATCAAGCGCTAAAGCTGCTNTGACTGTTTTGTACAGTTAAAAAATTTAATTGAACTTCAAAATGTCATTTTCTTGGCCTGTCCTAAACAATGTTTCCAATAATAACTAGCTTCAAAACTTCCCATGCATTTTTCAATATCTAATTTTTTTATATCAACCGGTGTAAGCATTTCTAGAATATACGCAGAGAGTATTATTTACAAAAACTTCGTTTTGAATAATTTTTTCTGTCAATAATTTGTTTGTCCCAAGAAAATCTTTCATTTTCCTGGCTACTTCTATTTAGTGGTTTATAACCAAAATAGATAGAGTCAGCAATTAATATCTTATGTTAATAGATTGATTAGATACCCTCCTATATGAACATGTTGCATGAATAAAGAACCAATTTTCTGGTTCAAAATCTATTTCAAAAATTTTTTCAAGATGAGTAGGATTTTGTGTTGTTATTTTCCTGACTTCTTGATATCATTACTAACATAAACTACATAGATTTATCTGAGTTATTTTAAGAAATCCTGATTTTTTCTGCAGAATGTAAGCGTCTTAGGCCAAAATATTAAATTAAAGTAAAGTTATATGCTATAAAATGGCGAATTTGTCATTATCCTGGCTGTCATTTTCTAGGCTTATGAATTCCAGGACATTGAAGTGTTGCTAAAATTTTTTTAACTGCTAATACAATGAGGAGGAAAAGCAAATATTAACCTAATACGAAGTTTATGTATGTTTGTAATATGGTTGGATGTAATCAAAGTTATTTATTTATTTAATGATTAATTATTATACACAATTTTATTTTGTACATATTAGCAAAAAAAAAATTTTTGATTCTTTTTACAGAGGATAAAAAGAATTAATTTAAACAATTTATAGTCCATGGATTATGGATATCTTTATATATAAGAAAAGAGTGGAATGATAACTCATAGCCAATCACAGCAGACTTCTGGTTAGTAACTCACAAAACAGCCAATCAAAGTTGAGAACGCATGGGCGTGTAAAGGTAATAATTTTTAATAATGCTGTCTGCAGAAATGTTACAACTAAACTTATCAGCTAAATCTTGTTGCGATTTTTATTTTGTATTGAATGTGTGAAATATATTGAACAGAGTTTACTTTAAAATACTTATATCTTTTATAAAAACTGGATCGCCGTTAATATCTTAGGAGATATCAACAGCGACATAGGGCTGAACATAATTTGAATATCCTGAGATTTAGGTGCACCGAATTCTCTAATAGCAGTTAGATACTGCCTAAATTTATCATCAATAGAATCTGTGTACTTCCATCACCACATAAATTCGGCGAAATACGAATCGAAAATTGCGTCTGTGGTACCGGATTGGCGATGACATTTTTTTCTTAAGTCCCTTCTTATGACTGCCCACATACCTTCTATCTTATCGACCAGAAGAAAAAGTAATCTTACCAGCCGGTATCCAACTTAGAACTAGCGGACCTCTGAAATCACATATACCGTTGAACATTTAAAAATAACGCTAAAATCTAAACCAATCAGAATCACGTTTGGGTTTCAACATCGCCCAGCTTGGTGATCAACCGTGATCGCAACTTGGTGAGAATCAAGGGGCACCCCAAATATAGTCAACCCGAGTTAGGTTCTGCCACGTGTGTTTTGAATACGGAGATTAATCTCCGGCTAATGCTCTATAGTAATGTGTTAAATAATATTGCATCCTCGCTTTATATAAGTTTATATTATTGTTTGTATTAAAATTGCTTTACATAAAATGCTGATAACAAGGATCTCTGACTTATTACAATCCTATCATTTCTCTCTATGTGATGTTGGTGCAGAAAAATTGCCAGCTAATCTCCAAGAAAACGACTTTAATTTTATTCGCGAAAAATGTAATTGCGTAGCAGTTATCGGGGTTGGCGAGCGGAGCCCTCTGGTATATTATATATATATATA